GAGGAGGCACCTCCCCGCAGCGGGCGGGTCCCGCTCCCTAAGAGCTCTGCCCCCGGCGGCTGCAGGGCGCCTCGTCCGCCGCCACCGCCCTCCGAAAGGAAACGGGCAGCTGGGCGGGGCGGCGCGTTCAAACCGGGCGGGCGACCGTTAACGGCCGCCCCGGGAGGCACCTCCCCGCAGCGGGCGGGTCCCGGCGCTCCCTAAGAGCTCTGCCCCCGGCGGCTGCAGGGCGCCTCGTCCGCCGGCACCGCCCTCCGCGAGGGAACCCAGCCGGCACGGTGAAATTGCCTAAAGCGTTGCTGACGGTACGCACTGACGGACCGAGCTCAACACCGGGAGAGAGCCGCGACTCCCGCACCTCCGAGGCGCTTTTCCTCCTCGCCCCTCACCTACCTGCTCTCTGCAGCGATTAAGAATCCAGCTGGAGCTTAAAGAAATGAGGGTTTGTATATCATACACTCGACTGAATTTTCAAGGTAGAGGGAAAGACAGAGTCATGGCACAAACCAGGAAAACTGCTCCTCAAGAGTAATACACTTGATGCCATCCTCATCAGTAATGAAATGCGACGCATTATTGAAATTAAAGTGGAAACACCTTGGTATACAGCTGTGTGTTCTCTTCTGCTCTTTTGTGCAATTACTGTAATCAAGGTCTTACAAAACTGATTCTTCTTTACAATTTGGGGAGAAATTCACCCTGAAGCTGGAAACGAGACAAAAGAACTTCTGACATCTGCTTCAGGGGGAGCAGGAACAGACCTTCTGCCAACTACTAATCTACATATAAAAATAAATGTAAGTGGTAAAGTTCAGTTTCAATTTAAGCTTGTTTACCTACTTTGGCTACTGAAGACAGTTAAAGTATTTTAAGTGAAGCAAAATTGCTACTGTCATACATTAAAATTGGGCAATTATAATGAAGAATATCGAGCTTATCTTGCTGAGCAAAAACCAAGATTGCAGTAGAAAGTGAATGGATTAGGACTATGATTATTGACAGTGTTTTACTCACATCTGTGACACTGGTAAATCTCAAGATTTTATCAGTCAAGTACCCAATGTTGGGTAGACTTTTCTCATACTCCAGATTATTCTATGTTTATTTACAGTTCATCGAACTACACTACTAAAAAACTGTAAAGTTACTCTCAGATGTTACTTTTACAGTGAATTTGAAAATGAATTCATTTAATGTTGTAATGTAAATCATAATACATCATTCAAAAGTTACCTAAGCATCTGTCTTAAAAATGATATTTAGAAGACCTTATACAAATATCTGGGAAACATCTGGAATTATGTTTGGAATAATAAAAAAACCTCATGCTCTAACAAATTAACCATCACAGTTTAGCTGATAGGCACAGAGTTTACAATACTACATCAAGCTGTAATTGGTCTTTTTTGTGTGAAGTTGTTACGATAATACTAGCCTTAAATTCATATCTTTTGATATCAGTTACACCACTTCAGTTTTGAATATTTAAGTTTTAACTGAAATTTTTTGTATGCTATCAAGTTGAAGTTTTTCAACTTCTCAACCTTAACAAGTTGAAATAGTGCTTTCTATCACTGTAGTTCCGCTTGTGGCAGTACAGATGCTGCAATCAATTAAGTGCAACTTGCTCAAAACAAACAAGTCTTCTAAAAAACCATACATTTTTCAACTCTCATGGTTTCTGATTTTTGTTACAAAAAAAAAAAATGTTGGCTGTTGATTACTTTTCCTCCCTGAATCTAATTACAGCTTCTAATACATGTTCCTTATGATCATGCCTCTGCATACGCTGGCTTTCAGCATTAGTCCCCATAGAGGGTAGGTTGATAAAATTGTTCTTATTTTTGCTACCAAAATGGGCAGGGGAGAAAGAGGGATTAAAAACATAGCCGATTTTTTTCTCTCGATACTGGGGGAACATAAAAAAATATTTTAGTGACACTCACCTAATTTGCATGATTTTTAATAGGAATGTCATGTAGGATTTGACCTATTAACTAGTAGCTCTAGCACTTGGGAGAACATTTTTTTCTGAATGGGCCTGATTGCAGGGCCCAGGATTACAGGATTCCTGGGCGTATAGTTATGTTTTTGTCTCAGGGCATGGCACATGCCCTCAGCAGGGCTAATTGCTTCTCTCCCTTTTTGAACACAGCACTTCTGGATGCGTTAACCCAACAAGGCCTGCCTGGTCCACCACCTTCTATCCAGCTGAGGCAGGGCTGCCCACACACTCAGGAGGAAGGAGTCTGGTGTTCGGGGCTGGGAGCTGCCCCACTCTCCCCTGCCTGACTCCAGAACAGCTCCATGGAAGCAGCAACAAGCTCCACAACAGGCCCCAAGCATCTGCGCTGCCTTATGGTGATGAAAGGCAAAAGGCAGTGAAGGGACAGCCTGGAGGCAGCTGTAGCCCAGTGCTTATCCCTCAGGATGATGTGCACAGCTGCAGCCTACCCTAGCTGGGTCATGGTCCAAGGTGCATCAACCAACTCCATGCTAGGGACTGCCTGGGTCCTTCATCAGAGACAGCCCTTCTCACTGCCCACTCCTGGGCCACGCAGGACTCCTCCTCATGAACTTGACAGCTCTCTGCTGCCTGCTAGCCATCCTCAGCAGCCATGGGGCCTTGCTGCTTGACTTCCTGGGGCTGAAGCAGGGCAGAATGGCCATCTTCCTCCCACATGGCTCAGCTGCCCTGTTCAGTGCCAGCGCAGCAGCCACAAGCTTTAGTCTCTCTGCACTGAGAAAGCACAACCTCTGCACTGTGCAGCAGCTTCAGCCCTTGGGCCTCAGCCTTTGGCTCAAGCTGCTGCTTCTGTATCCTTGCTTGCACCCTCGCAGCCATTGCAACCAGCTCGAGCTGCACTGCCTTGGCACAGCTCAAACCTGCTGTGGCCCTTTGCCTTGCCAGGATCAAGCAGCAAGAGACAAACCCCTGCCCCACAGATGAAAGAGATGGCACTAGCAATGCACATGGCTTTCCTTCCTCACTTCAAGGAGAGACTGGACTACCCAAGGCGACATGTGCTGCCTTCCTCCAGGGGTGGAACTGAACCCCGGAGAGAGGAACATCTGCCCTTCAAGCAAGAAGCAGCTGAACCCCAAGCAGAGGAAAGCGTCAAATTAATCTGCAAGGAAACTGACCTCCAAACAGAGGAAGGTCTTTCTCCCAAAGCAAGCAGATACAAGCTCAACTGTCACAGAGGCTCCATATCATACAGAAGACAGCTGACTCCAAAATGGAAGAGAGATATTCCTTTGAAACAGGAAAGACAACATGAGAAAGAAGTTTCCTATGAATAAAGGAAAAGGCTGACATAGGGAAGAACTCTTCCCAGAGATACTGACTACATTCATTGCCTCACAAGGCCTGCTCCAGCAACTATCCAGATACCTCACAGTAAGAGATTTATCCAAAAAAACCTTATGAATTAGAAAGTTTCAGTAAAATTCTTATTTTGCCATAAAAGGGACTTAAGATGTTGAAAAACAAATCCTTCCTTAAAAAACATGGTTTGGAGAAGCATTAGGTCCTTCTTGACTTGAGAAGACTAGAATGACATCTATGTTGCTATGTCTGTGTAATAACCTGCTAAAAGATGTTTCTGCAATTTAAGTCAGGTGAAATATGAAAATCATAACAAGAACTGTTTTGAAGATGCTTAGCTAGTGCAAAATAGATATCCCACAAGTCTACAAACACAAAACAGACATAGCAACATAGATGTCATTCTAGCCTTCTAGAAAATACATAGGACTTAAAATGTCTTAAAAGTGTTCTTCTAAAAGAAGGTAGTGTCCTTTCCAGAAGGGATGCAGTAGCAAAGTGAGGGGAAAAAAAAGCCTAAGCCCACATACTGCCTTAACTCTAAAGTTGAGATAATTTAATTCTAAAATTAATTCCAAAATAATAGATATAGTTCCTTAAATAGCCAATTTCAGTTTAGGTTTGTCTTAGATTTGTGGAACCTAAACCAGTTAAAGATTATAACAGCACAGACTTCTTACTCTGGCTTTACTACCATGCTGGGGCAATTCTGCATATTGGTAATGTTACAGTAGGATTGAGAGCATATTTTACATATTTGTTTTGCAAATACATAGTCCAAACACAGTGTATTTCTTTCTCAAGCTGTGTTCCTTCATTATATATTCCATTTGACTATTCTATATGTCCCACAGTAGAAGTTTTGCTGACAGCATTCATTTGGTTTATTCACATGCCCAAACCATTCCCAGGGATAGATCAAAGAGGATAGTACAAGACTGCAGGTGCAAGGTATATTTTTTCTTGTTATGCTTGGAATGAGATAAAATATGAGTAATCCAGAGCTACTGCTAGTTATTTTCCTATTTTGCTATGTAAATAATCAGTACATCTTACATTGTTAGTTTTATAGGAGTTTGGGGTAAACCGGGGAAATTCCCCCTTTACTTTCTACAACCTTACAGTTTAATCCTTTCAAGCCAGAAGACTTAGTTGAAGTCACCAGGTTTTAAAAAGTTGCTTGCTCTGTCAAAACCATTCTTTAAATCATGGCCTTACCCTTAATTACAGGTGGACAGATCCCTGCCAATTGTGCTCATCCTGCCTGCTGATGGTACCAGAAACCAGAGTCCTACATTTCTGCAGATTGTTTGGTTTGTGAATTACCTTCCTTATCCACTGCCTCCACTTCTAACCCAGCTAGCAGTTTTACAACTTGGGACAATCTGCACCTATCACAAAGGTGGCCTCATCCATCTCTCTTGTGCTCAAGCAGCCACAGGGGCTCCAAGAACTAGCTGAAAACTAACCCAGAAAATAACTTGTTTTTCAGAGAACGGATCCATTGGCTGGAGGATTATGCAACATAATGGGTCATTATACCAGATGGGTCATTACTAAACCACCTGCTGTGGGTATGTCAAAATGATGAGAGCACATTTCATAAAAA